GGCTAGAGCTCTACCACTTGAGCCACAGCGCCACTTCTGGCTTTTTTCTTTTTGCTTATGTGGTGCTGAGGAATCGAACCCAAGGCCCCAGGCATGCAAGGCAAGCGCTCTACCACTGAGCCACCTTTCCAGCCCTGAAACAAATCTTAACACAGCTACCTAACTGATAAGTATATGCCTATATAGAGCCTGAAAACTCAGAAAAATGTCTGTTGTAATTATGGTCACTTCAAAATTTAGGTCTCTGCTCTTACTATTGTTGCTATAGCAGAGTACCAAACAATAAAGGTGCAACACTGCTATCAGGCCTCCTGAGCACTACTTCACAGAATTCTTGTATTATCTGCCAATTTCACATTCTCCCCTAGTTATCTAGCTTTTACTTCCTTCTACATTTTTACTTTCTTTGTAATAAACATTTGAGAAAAGAAACACCTACAGTCATAAGACAAAATATAGTAAATAAGTCTAAAATACTTTGAAACACAGAAAACATTTTATTTTTTAAGTTTACATTTTCCAGACACTGATTAATCTGTCATATGGTGACAAACATGGCATATATTAATAGCCTTTAACATTTAATAATCAACATTTTTTTATATTTATTTATTCTTGTTGGTCGTGGGACTCGAACTCTGGGTCTGGGTGCTGTCGCTCAGTTCTTCAACTCAAGGCTAGCACTCTACCACTTGAGACACTGAGCTACTTCTGGTTTTCAGAATGGTTTATTGAAGAGTCTCACAGACTTTCCTGCCTAGGCTGGCTTTGAACCGCAATCCTCAGATCTCAGCCTCCTGAGTAGTTAGGATTACAGGCATGAGCCACTAGCGCCTGGCTCTACATTTATTTTTGACATTATACAGTGACAATAAGCTTGCATGTGATTATATGTCTAAGGGGAAAATGTTATGGTAAAATACAGCATCAAAAGTTCTCCAAATAGCCAGGTGTGGTGGTCAACTAAAGGCCTGGGCTACATAGCAAGTTTCAAGAGAGACCCTATCTACAAGGGGAAAAAAGTTCTCAAAACATGACTGAAACAACACTAAACACTGGAAAGCTTAGCCACTACAGGACACAGTGGTACATGCGTACAACCCCTCCACCACTCAGAAGACTGACAGGGAAGGATTACTTGAGCCTAGGAATTTGATACCAGCCTGGGCAACAAAGGGAATCTGTCTTTAAGGGAAAAAAGAAAAGGTAAACACAGTATTGTAACAGAAAACAGAGTTGTACACCAGTGGCTCATGCCTATTTTATAATCCTAGCTACTCAGGAGGCTAAGACTGATACCTGTCTATAAATCCACAGAGCTCAACAACAAACACTCACATTTAATAATTTCAGGGCACACTTGATAGAAGGAAGCTCTGAAAAGACAAAGACCTGGAGGATTGTGATTCAAAGCCAGACCTGTGAGACTCCATCTACAATTAGGCAGCAATAAGCTGAGCTAGAATGTGGGAAAATGCCAGCCATGAGCAAGTAAGCTGAGCAAGAGCACAAGGTCCTGAGTTCAAGCCCTAGTACCAGCAAAAAATAATAACAGTATGGTTATCTGCCTACAAATCTGTTTAGTAGGAGTACATATGTTTACGTTTTGAAGACGTGGTCAGTGGACGTCTTGAACAGCATCTGCCTTACCCTGAAGGGACTGTTTGCACCTCCCTGGTGCCTTCCTCACCTCAGTGACTTCTCTCTGTCCTCATCAGAGGTCCTTCCTGGCACCAGAGGAGATGAAGGGGAGACAGCTGCCCATAGCCTCCCTGCGACGGAGGCCTGGTGACCCTGGCCTTTCTCTGTTTTCCTTAAACAGTCCACGTGCACACTAAAAAACTGATTTCTGGTGAGCATGCTGCTAACTAAGCTGACAAACTATCCCAGAAACAGGTTAATGTCAGAGGCCAAACAGTCTGTAAGCACATATAAAGCAAGTAACTTCCACTTGTCTTCCCAGATTGCACAGGTAAACATCACACTGCGTGTGGGAAGGGGTACTCAAAACTTAGTCATTTCAATGCACATTTGGTAAAAGCAAGCTCTGAACATACAAAGATGCTTCAATGTGAAAGTTAGGATTTAAGTTAATAACATTTTTTTCTTTGAAAATTTCCTATTACCAATTAACATTCAGAAAGTCATATAGTTCTGACCTTTTATTTATTTATTTTATTTATTTTTTTTTAGTGGGTCATGGGGCCTGAACTCTGGGCCTGGGTGCTGTCCCTCAGCTCTTCAGCTCAAGGCTGGCACTCTACCACGTGAGCCACAGCACCACTTCCAGCATTTTTTCTTTTTGCTTATGTGGTGCTGAGGAATCGAAGCCAGGGCCTCAGGCATGCAAGGCAAGCACTCTAAGACCTTTTTTTAATGAACAAGTTAATAGAAAATATCACCAGGTTGTTGCTGCAACCTTCAAGCTAGATACTTCTAAATGAGGTTTTTACACTCATCCTCCACCATCCCGGGCTTCTCATGAACACAGAGACAAGAGTCCAAGGAGACTAGAGCACAACCCCGAGCTACAAGTACATGCAACAGGCTGGTCTGCTACAGGGCTCAGCCCTAGTATTCTGCTGAGCCAAGCAGTCTGAAAGAATTCTGTTCACCTAAAGCAAATTCTGTATCACATAAAGAAAATTCTATATCACAAAGAAGTAAGAGTTCATGACCCACAATAGAGAGAGAGAGAGGTATTTTGCTACTGGGCCAGAAGACACAACATTACTGATGCCTCAAACATAAAATCACACTACACTAAAACAGTAGGAAAAAAAATGAGATCATAGAAGTACTGTGAGAACAGCATGCTCACTTGTACTGAAAGTAAATAGACATCCTAAGATGAAGGCAAAACAGTAAGGTTAAAAACAAAGAAACCAAAAGGCAAATTAAGCAATTTATAAAAGATTACAAAGATTACGAAGGAACAACATTTTTAAGTACCAGGCAAAAGAGAGTAAAATGACATTTTTTTCACCAAAGTAGCAGTTAAAAAAAAATCTGTAGCAGTTTAAAAAAAAAAATCTGAGCCAGGTCCGGTGGCTCACATCTATAATCCTAGCTACTCAGGAAGCTGAGATCAGAAGATTGTGGTTCAAAGCCAGCTGGGGCAGGAAAGTCTGTGAGTCTTTTATCTCTAATTACACACACACACACACACACACACGCATTCCAAAACACACATACACGCGCGCGCGCATTCCAAAAAAAGCTGGAAGTAGAACTATGACAGACACACACACACACACACACACACACACTCTCTCTCTCTCTCTCTCTCTCTCTCTCCAAAAAAAGCTGGAAGTAGAACTATGGCTCAAGTAGTAGTGCTCTGGTCTTGAGCAAAATGAAGTTTGGGAAAATGCTCAGGCCCTGAGTACAAGCTCCAGGACTAGCACCAAAAAAAAAAAAAAAAAAGCCTTATATTGATCATGTGGACAAGAATGTCAGGAAGTGAGGGTGGGCATACATTAGTCAACGTCAGCCATCCAGAGACCAGGCCTCACAGGGCACACTAGAACAAGCCTGTAATCCCAGCATGATGGAACAGAGACAAGAGAACCACTGGAAAGCCCAGATGACATAAAGTCTGGACTACATAATGGAGATCCTGGATTTCCTAGCCACATCTTGCCTCAAATAGATCATCTGTACACGTGTACACAAACACACACAAATTGTCAGGCCTAATTTTCACAACTAACCAAGGCATTCTGCATTTTACTAAATCTATTTCTCTACTTATTCC